GACTGTCAGGAAATGGATACAATTTGGCGTTAATTAATTGTTAATGAGTCATTAATAACGAGTAAATTTATATCGTATTCGACTCATAAGCAATAAAGTACAATAGTATAGTATAAGTTTTTAGTAAAATGTAATCATGACCCTAAATATAGGGGTAATGCTACCTGGATAAGATTACCCCTCTTTGTTGGATTTCACATAATATTACCGGGTGTTTTTATGAGAGTAAATACGGTATATATCTATTAAAACAGAGTTTAATATAATTTCAATATTTTTTGATTTATTTAATTCCTGAGAATATATTGTAAAATATGTTGTGAATCGAGTATTAATACAATCGATATGTTAATTATGATATATGTGTTTAAAATAGTGTCAATTATTATTTACATTCGCATACAATCGACAATTGTTTGCGAATATATTGTAACTATATTTTAGAATCTAAAATTTAGATAATACTATGTATTGATATTAATTATTATTCATTTGAATGATTATATGACTGAAAATAAATACAATTATATTAATTGAATTTTATAGTTCTGTTAATTATAGAAATGTTAAATATTTGCATAATTTTAAGCAATTATATGTTTTGTGAAATCGTTATAATTAATGAACAATTGGTTAAAAGCGGTTATTCGGCGGTCATCTCAACCTCAGAGACGTCGAGGTATTCATTGCTTGAAACGCTTTGTGTCTTAGACTTAACTACAACTCAAAACTTGATTTATAAACTTTTTATAATTTATTTGACGAAAAAATACGTGATTTTTGTTTGCATTTTCTGTTAAGTCCCTAAAAAACAAAACGACACACAATTTGAATATAATTGTTGTGTTCATTGAATTGTGTTTTCATTCAATTGCATTCATAGGCATCACATCCGCGGTCACCGATCAACACATCCACGAAGACATATATTGATGGCAACGATGAGCGACAGCGCATTAGCGGCCAAACGCGGCGCCCAATTGTGGGACAACAGTCCCGACTCTCTATTACATACTTGTATCCGATATGTGCTCAGAGAGGGCTTACGGTCCGTGTCTTTGCCGCGAGAGATCTGTGATCTACTCATTCATGTCTATCGCGAGACACATATGAATGACAGCGAACTCATGAACGACTCGTTGCCAAAGTTTTTGTCCCAATTTCGGGCGAATAATAGCCGCGTATGTGTGGCCAACTTTGCCGACCTGTCCATCAATGACGAGACATTGGAATGGTTTCTTGAGGAGCACTCGAAGTCTATCACTCACTTGGATGTGTCCAACTGTCGTCAGCTAACGAGTCGGGCCTTAACGCTCATCAATACAGCGCTCACCCGTGTTGTAGACCCGTGTCATCCGTCGCCCCTCCGGACACTCATTATTGGCCGCTCAGCGCATATACTGTCCGACTTTGAGGTAATTTTGTTCGCCATTTGAACGTTAGTTTGAATTATAATTAATGGTTAATACAATTGTTTTCCAGAAGTTCTCATCCAATAGTTATCTCATTAACCCATTGTTAACAATACGTAAACTAGTGATACACGAGTGGAACCCAATCGACGCGTCCGCTCATTATCTCAAGTATTTAATTAACTCTGAAATGAAACACACGTTACAGTACTTGGACTTAAGGTATGCTCGAAGTTGTCTCTCATATGAATTGCTAACAATTTCGGTCTCGTAGTAATGGCAGCGCAATCGGTGACGGCTCACCACTGGAACAGTTGCGGACATTGAAAACATTGATTCTATACAACTGTCCGGAACTACATCTAGTTATCAATAATATCGTGAAGATTAAGACTTTACGGTAACTCTTTTGTCCACTTCGGGACAGTTTTATTAATGGCTTATGTTTTACGAGCAGTTGTCTCGACATTTCAGCGACTGATGAAGACTGTGGACACGTATATGAAGAGCCGAACACACAGTTGGCACTTATAGTGAACTCTTTGCCCGAATTGACACGACTGGACATATCGGGCACTAATCTCGCCGGTGATCGTACGTCATGGCAAACCCATGAGTAATACCTTAAAAATTAATGTTGTTTTAAATTTAAAGATTGCGAATTCTTCCCGGGATTAGTTTTACGAAACAAAACACCATTTGATTTTTTAGGACTTTATAAGACGGCCAATGAGGCGGCCTATAGGCGCGCAATACCCGCCCATTCAGTCAGTAATTATCACTTTTATACCAGAAATTGTTAACTAATTTTTTACTTGAATTAATAGGTTTCGGGCGCCGCCACTGAAGAGCAGATACTGACTGCTTGTGAAGCTTATATCGATAGAGTCGAGTTCTTGAGGCATACACTCACTGATATGTTCAACTGTTTCCGTATTGAAGTACGATTTGAGTCTATCTCTCATGACGTGAACCGAGTCTTCCATATTGTGTTGCAATCCATGTCCAGACATTAGCATGAGAAGAAGATCCAGAACACGGCCTTCGGTTTGCTCTATCGAATCGTTAAATCAGACGAAGCGAAACATAAGTTCAATATTAAATTTAAGCGATTTATTATCACTAAACTTGTGGACGCTATGTATGAACACAGAGATGACACGATTGTAATTATGTTTGAATTGGATTTAGTTTTTGTATTTACTTTTTTGTCATTATTTTTATACTATTGTTTTGTTTTATACCATTAGTTATTTATAAACAGAATAATGGTTCTCTCCAGCTTCGAGATACCAACTGATGTGGTAATTCTCTCTCTCTCTCTCTCCAGTATATACAGAGCACCAGTAGTTTCGATACCATTACCAGACAAATACATAGTGTAGAAGAAGTACTCAATTCCGTTATGATTAAGAAAACGATCGCAATTCACTTTACTGGTGGTCGCGTTCCCCAATACACTCCACGCCGTCTCCATTATTTCGTCGCATATATTCCTCTCTCTCTCGCATTTAATGTTTATATAATTATAAAATTGCTTTATTGGATCAGATCTTTGAATTCTCGCGTTTAGCTGAGATTCTGTTGCATATTGTGACCACCCATTTGGACGACGAATTCCTGAGTCTAATGATGGCTTTTTTGGAGGCACTCGTGTGTTTGGTCGGCAATGACCAGACTATTAGCCATTATTTATCGACCATTAGGGTTGCCGGCGATTTGGGAGCGATTGAAAAAATGCTGTCATTAATCGATACGAGACTCGCGAGGAATATATGCGACGAAATAATGGAGACGGCGTGGAGTGTATTGGGGAACGCGACCACCAGTAAAGTGAATTGCGATCGTTTTCTTAATCATAACGGAATTGAGTACTTCATGTCGTGTTCGCACACCTTTCCCAACAGCTATGGTATGTCTTATGAATTGTATTTTTATATATATATTTTTATAATTTGCCATTTTATTGATGACAGAGTTGTTGAGGAATATGACGGAAGTGTTGGCAAACGTGGCCCAAACCGATATACTGCGGCCCCGACTAATGAACGCTCAATATATTACACGGTTTGTAGAACTGTTGGACACCGAGTCGGACGACAATGGCGTGAGCTATAATGCGGCCGCAATTCTCTCGCATATCGGTTAGTGAGCCATACATTTGACTTTTATTTGTTTTAACGCACGATATATCTGTCCATAGCCTCTGACGGCGAGTATAAGTGGCGACAGATATTACCATTGGAATGCAGTCGAGACCATATGTTGAACCGAATGGGAGCCGCCATTAGCCGATGGAAGATCAACTCCAAGAGAAATATCAACTTCAGGTGCTTTTGAGTTGTGTTTTTAATTTAGGAGTTTTTGTAATTGCTTTGATTCCTTATTTTATTTGCTAATTGATTGCAATTTAGATTCTTTGAATCGATTCGACGTTTATTAAGGCCAGGCATACCATCGGAGGCTCAGTATTGGCCGGTCTGGGCGTTGGCTAATCTGACTCGAGTCCAGAGTCAACAATATTGCCCACTCCTGGAGTATTATAACGGGCTTAAAGTTTTGGAAAAGTTGGCGGACAACGAGTCAACTCCCCCTCACATCAAACACTTGTCGTCTCTAACTCTATATCAATACGATTTGTTCGCAAAAACGGGTCATTTGAAGGCACTCGAGGACAGCCAAGACATGGAAATACCGGCCGATTATGTGAGACAATCTCACCGATAGTTAAGAGCGAATGTTGACTGAATTATTTGATATTTTAATTATAAATTGTTTATTATAGAGAAAAATGTGATTAATATAAAACTTATTGTAATTTTATTATTAATTTATCACTAATTTATAACGTTTATTACTTTTATTTAAAATTATAACATATTTTAGCTGAACACCAGATATCATTTGAATTTTTTAATCAAATATGTTGAGAATTGAGTATTAATACAACCGATATGTTAATTATGATATACTATGTATGTATGTATTAAAAATAGTGTCAATTATTAATTACATTCGCAAACAATCGACATTTGTTTGTGAATATATTGTAACTCTATTTTAGATAATACTATGTATTGATATTAATTATTATTCATTTGAATGATTTTATTACTGAAAATAAATACAATTATATTAATTGAATTTTATAGTTATGTTAATTATAGAAATGTTAAATATTTGCATAATTTTAAGCAATTATATGTTTTGTGAAATCGTTATAATTAATGAACAATTGGTTAAAAGCCCTGAGGAATGGGAACCATTGGTTTGGGCTGTAATGTGAATGTTTTGTTGCAAACTATAAGTGACATAATTTTAAGCAATTATATGTTTTGTGAAATCGTTATAATTAATGAACAATTGGTTAAAAGCCCTGAGGAATGGGAACCATTGGTTTGGGCTGTAATGTGAATGTTTTGTTGCAAACTATAAGTGTTGTAATTGGTTTGAAATGGTTGTAAATCATAACCAATAGTTGATTACTCTATTCACTAAACGAGTTAATGTTTAATCGCATCGTTAGATTCAATTGCGTTCAGTAACTCATGTAATAATCATAATAAACATTAATTTTTCAGTGAATTTTACAAATGAATACTAAAACCATTCAACTATTTGTTATGACATTTCCTATTCGGACATTACTTCTAAAGTATTTGTTAAGTTTTTTTTAAATATACCAATTTTTCAGGTATTGGTTTCGATATAACTGTCCAAACATTTTCACATATTCTGTGCTTCAAAACTAAACTTAGGATTTTGTAAAGTTTTAATTCTTAAATTTAAGTCAAAATTTATATTTTATTAAAATAAGTGTTAGTAATGTTAGTATTGTAAGTGAACCCCCGGGAGGCGATGGTGCGAATTGTTTTAAAAATTAATATTTTTGTAAAACTTATTATTTGATTAAATGAATACATTTTCAAAACTCAAAATTATTGTTTTGAAAACAACAATGAATTGAATATAAAGTCTTTTACTTTAAACTACTTTAGAGTAGAAAAGGGTTGAGAAGAGGAGTGACTCTCACCGGCGCTTAAGAGAGAAAGAGTTGAATCCATTGGCGCTCAAGAGATTTGACGACACGAACGATAGGATCAGTCGTTGGAAGCGATGAATCAGATTATAGCGAAAGTGTCGACCAATGAGTTCGTGAGGATTAGCGACAGGAATAAGATTTACGGCGGAATCGGAACAATAGACGGAAGCGTTTGGATTGAATATAACAATTGCAAAGTGTTTAAGCGGCCGATCATTGGCCGCGACAACGATGTCGTCATTCCTCAGCCATCGGTGGCTCTGACACAACTCAATAGGGGTCCGACCGGTGCTCACGACCTCTTCATAACGGGTTCGGCCGCTCTGTGTCTCCTCTATTGTCACCAAACTGTGTGTACTCTTAATGGTGGCGAACGAGTGGCCAGTCTTTGCGGTCGCACTTATGTTATGAAAACAGATATCGTTTGCGATTTAGACAACGACTCGGGAGACGACGACTCACTTGAATATGAGCTGAAGACTGGCCAACACTTGCGTATCATTTCGGGAACCGTTAGAGTGAAAGTGTCGGCCGCCGGACACCGAGTCTTTGTCGGCACTCAATCCAAACAGACCGTCAAATATGAGATTTTTAGTTAACATTCAATTAATAGAGTAATAATAAAAACTCAATTATTTACGAATTGATAAATATTTTGTTAATTTAATATTTGTATTAAACTATTTTATAAGTAAAGTTTTGTTAAGTGTTAAGAATTCAAGAAGTGTTTGATCACTGAATTGAGACAAATCATCGATTTTTAGATTCAAAGAATGGTCTGAAAGTGAATTCAATGTTAAATTTTAATGTTTCATTCAATTCTGTATGTAATGAGCACTCAATGAATTGAAAGTCATTTTCAAACCACAGAATCTAATATTATTTGTCAATCATTTGCTATACTTTTGCGTTAAACAGTGAATGTATTGTTTAAATATGTTATAACTTATAACTTATAAGACTTAAGCGTTTTATTTAAATTTTGAAAATTATCTATAAATTGTTTTAATTCTTTAAAAAAATCAAATAATTTGTGTAAGTTTTCGATCGACAGGACAGCAAAGGACAGAACAGATAGTCTTTAAAGACAATAAAAGCCAATAAGTTATTGAAGAGTAAAGACAGCAAAAGCCACACAAAACACAAGAGTCTCACTGAATGGACAACTCTTCGGGCGCTATATTGGAACGAATGCGGGAATTCTGCGGACAGTATTTCATCCCTGGAATCACTCGAGAGAACCGACAGACGATTAGCCATCAATTGAACCGATACGTGGCTGCCGTCACACCCGCTCTCTGTCAACGGGTCTGCGATCGTCTGGACGCCGAGCCGTCGCTCGTGTCGGTCGGGACGCCGTGTTATCTCTTCGGCGACATTCACGGCAACGTCAAAGACCTGTATGACATCGAGTGCTCCTTTTGGATGAACAGCGGGTTGGATCAGCTGCAGAACGCGCGCTACGTATTCCTCGGCGATTACGTGGACAGAGGCGACCATTCGGTGGAAGTGGCCGTCTATTTGCTGGCCCTCCGCGACGCCGAACCGCATCGGTTCACACTCTTGAGGGGCAACCATGAGGTCAGGCATACGAATCGGGATTATACCTTTTGGATTGAGTGCCGCAAGAAGTTTGGACTCGTTGTCGGCGAACGCATTTGGGATCAGATCAACCGGTGTTTCGATCGCCTGCCACTCGTAGCCATCGTAGGCCAGAGTGTGTTCTGCTGTCACGGCGGACCCCCGCGATCGGCCACCACTTTGGCGGAGGTAAGTCTGATCCCCAAACCGTTGATGGATCCACGGGAAGTGCCGTCCGCTCAGGAGATCCTGTGGAACGATCCGATTGAGTCGATGCCCAGCTATTCGGCCGACGAAACAGAACAAACTATGCGTGAGAATGGCCAGCGATGGAAAATCAATAGTAGCCGCGGCACCGGTTTCTACTACACGGCCGCAGCCGTACAGGAGTTCCTCGACGCCAATGGTCTGATATATCTGGTGAGAGCCCACGAGTGCGTCGACAAAGGCTATCGTCAGACGTCCGGCGGACGAGTGGTGACAGTCTTCTCGGCCTTCAATTATATGTCAAAACCCAACACAACCGCTTGTATTGAAGTGACTGTTGATACAAATATGAAGTGCACTCTAAAGTATCATCTCTTGAAATACGGCCGACGCCCGCCCGGCTGACGATAGCCCGATCGGTTCCAGTCATTCACTAAAGTCAGTCCTCGTTTTATTTGTATCTCATTTTGTGTGCCTTTCTTTCTCTTCGGCCGACAAAACCATTCAACAGATCACTAGAAATGTGTGCATTGTTTCCCACATTTAGCGCTAAACAACATAAAAATACTTGTAATTCATATATGTTGTAGTGATTTGTTGTTTCGGTAAATAAAATTTATCTCAAAACACATTGGATTTGTTTTAAAACAAATTATTAGTTTTGTGATTAAGTGGCAAATTAATTGTAAGACTTATTTGAGAAACAATTAACTAAATATTTACACTAAAGATCTTAAATATTTACCCAAACGTTTTATTACTAATAACAATAACTAATAACTTATTAGTACAGCGAAACTACTTGAATTAGGTTACCAAACTTTTTACTGTTGTATAATTTAATTATTCAGTTATTAACTACATTTAACAAGACACATTTTGATAAAATTAATCTAAATAAGACAATTATTTCAATGATTTTTCATTCTTATCATTATATAAACTTTTATTAAATACATAATTAATAAATACATAATATTGTAATCATTTGTTAACTTTTAATTCCGGTTTCTTTTGCGAGGGAATAGAAGATTGACTTCTCGTCTGATAAAAGATTTTCTGGTGAATCGAATTCAGCTATTCTTCCGTCTGATGGACACAACCAATGGTTAAATGCATTACAATATAAACTAAAAGCACTTCATTTCACTTACCATTCAATACGAGGACTCGGTTTGAGTCGAGAATTGTGTTCAATCGATGAGCGATCGTAAGTACAGTGCAGTCGGCGAAGGCCTGCCTTATAGTGGTCTGAATGAGTGAAT